TTGCTTGATTTCCTATCCATATGGGACTGATATGCAATTATAGGCAGTATAGATCTCTAAATTTCAGACATTAGATAGGGCTCCGCGCTAGTCCGTCGTATCTCAGCTTTTCTTCGTCATACACCCCTGAAATCGCTCATTTTACGGGTTATCGCAAATGTTTCAGTGTCAATCGTAATTAATCTTGTAAGCAAAGATGTGTTTGCAAAAACATGAGTGAAAACGCTTTGGTATTGTAGTTATAGCACATAGAACGGAAATAGGCGCCATGATACGACGAAGTAGCGTGGCTCCCTACTAGCTTCTTTACAGCAAACAATCAGATAAAGATTTCACGGGCATTCACAAGAACCTTAATAGGGCAGAGAACTACTTCGGCCTAATCGCCCATTTTGGGCCTACCGAGCAGAAAACTTTAAATAAATCCATGATTGCAGAGTTAACAAGTCGTTTATGCATTTGATACGATACTTTAGTTGATAAGCTACCTAACGAAGTCAATGAGTCCGCGTGGTATGAAGGTTAGTAGCACCCATTATTCCCAAAAACAAAAGCAGCGCTCCGACCCGAATCCATTTTTATCTTCATCCGATAGGCCGAAGTGAATTCATTGGCGTTTCAATGCGTTAGGTCGAGTTTAGAATCCGTAGGCCGAGTTTGGCGTCAAGAAGCAGTGTTAGACTTTTAACAATATCTCAACAAATTGTTTCTCTTTATCAAATCTTACAGTACGTACGGAAAGGTAAATAAATTTGGAAGCCATCAGTAATATTAACATTCCGTTTGGTGCTAAACTGCGCTAGATTAAGAAAGACTAAGTGCGGGTTGTGCTTAATAGGCCGGAAATGGGGTAGTTAACCCTACCTATTTTGGTTTGTGAAATTCCGCATTGCGCAAAGAATGATGGTACAAGGATTCACTTTATTTTTTTTATTAGAAATTGTATTTAAACATGGTTTTTAAAAACAGGAAATTTTTAAATCATTGACCAGGAAAACCAGGAAAAAACCAGGAATTTCAAAATGGAAATTCACTTGCCACCCTGAATATTCCATGCGCCAACCGTTAGATTTGTGCCTTTAGGTGAGAAAACCATTCCCTGAATGTTTCAGCTCATTTGGCTATAAGATGAGCTGGCGCTTTCAGTTTGACTTTTGTATGGGGATTTTGGATAAAATACATGAACAAATGATACTCCAACACTCTGTCGACCATAAAAAGGTTTCCTTATTCTCGATTTGATTCAGATTTTCAAAACATGTAGTTCAAATAATGCGTAACAACTTTGCTGAAGATTGCATCATGAATCCAGGTAGTTTTATTGAGATATTCGCTTTTGAATGTATATGAGCATTTTGTATATGAAAAATTCAACAAAATCTTCTAAATGAACATTAGACCAAAAGTGGTAGCTAAATTTTACTGTGCCAACCACATCTCGGGTCAGTGTTCACTCGGCTGTCGACAAAAGCAGGCCACTCTCGATGTGTGCTACGCGATCGTCTGTTTTCTCGACAGCAACCATTGTGTGGTCCTCCTCATTGTTCTTCATCAGCAGTTCTTTCGGTCGATGCGTCGTCGACTTTGGAAAGCAACCGTATCGTGATGAGTGTGTGAGTGCTGACCACGTTTTGTGGCCATTGCTGCAATGGACGCGCTCTTAACCTCGTTGGCATACAACAATTTGCCATACAATGAAACTACTGGAAGCGGCTCCAGTTCTGATGGAGGAGGCTTTTTGGATAGCGGAAGATAAAGTGTTTATTGTGTTGTACCTTTTGACTATAGTTTTAAGATGTATTGTATAGTGACCAAGAATCCTCGGCTCTGTAAAGTTAATTCGGTTGAGCCTTATCAAATAAATTAATAAACAAAAAAAAACCACATCTCGGGAACCATTTGTCTGAAGAAGCTCAAAACAGTGCTCAAAATTAATAAAAACAAGGCATTCTGCGAAGTCTAGATTATGGATTAAGGCTAGATACATCGTGCTTCAGTTTAAAGATGGCAACGCCGTGAAGCGACCAGGGCGATACCAGGGATTACCAGGATACCAGGAATTGATTTCAGAATTTACTGCTAATTGGAAATTTGGAAAATCTTATGACCATCCAAGGATGAGAAAGGTCAGGAAAAGCTGTTAACGAGTTCAATATTGACTCTAATCCCAAGGTTTTTAATTCTCTTTGCTTCATCGCTTTACCGTTAGGAAGGAAACTGATTTTCATTCAGCTTAATTGTTTGGACATTCAGCAAAGTTGTTTCTCCTAAATGTGACACAATAAAACAAATGTCAATGTTACATCCAGATGGTTCAATCGATATTTCATCGTTTGCACGTCCGCTTCTTCCACCCGGCTAGGAAGCCATTTCACAAACGTCACTCCAACCTCTCACAACACAATAGGAAGCAACTATGGATTAAAAGGAAATTGAAGCAACGGTATACTGTTATCATAGGAGTTCCCACAAATTTGCATACATAGCAGGGGGAGTCTTGCATGAAAAGAAGATCCAATCTTCCCCGTCAAAATCGAACAGAGGCATCCATTTTCCTCGCCTAATTGACTGCCAAGCCAGGCAGAGTCAGTGCGGTAGCAAAGAGCTTCAACATTAGGCTCAACTCGGCCTGGCACACACTGGGATGACTATGCTCTATTGTCGTAATAATAACCTACGATGACTTCGCTCAAAGTTCATCCAATACCCTCCTGCTCCTATAATATACATTCGCCTCATCATCATAGTGCCGCACCCATTTCCTCGTCACAGAGTGCGGGCCCATCCCATTCCCCCACCCCCCAGCCAGCGCAACCGAAAAAGGAAGAATAAGAGCCTATTAAAAGCCGGCGATATAACAACGTGCCGAGAAAGGAAAACATGAAAAACAAATATCGGGATGTATATTTAAACTTTTTACGGTCATCGTTACTGTTTTTTCCCCTGTTATTGTTATTGTGCGAATTGTGAGGTCGTATGGGTTCTACGAACTTCTCCAACCACCGCGATCGGTCATTAAAACAATAGATGTGTCACTGGCTGTGGCAGTCAGTCGGAGTCTCGATAATTAATAACAACCTGGATCGGTACCTAGCAGAAACGCGTTATGCTCGAAGGAAAAACAAATTTAGAAGATTTATAATCATCCCTTTGCGACACTGATCTATTTCGCTACTGGCGGCGCAGAACGTCGTCGGATGCAGTGTGTGTATGTGTGTTTCGCTCCCGTCCGTCGTACACATTTTATATAAACACTATAAATCACTATGATATAAAGACGGCACCGAGGCCATCAGCAGCGAGTGAGAGACTTCGAGAGCTACTGCTTACCCGCATACACAACAGACGCCATCTTGCCTGCTGCTGCCACCGCCGAAGTCTACTAGCTAGATTACTGCGGCAAGACGCGTGCGGCGGTCGGTGCCCGGCAGTTGTTCGCCAAAAAATGCCGAAAAATTGATCACCGTCGGAAATTAATGTCCCATGAAAGTCAAATTGGCAACGCACAATCGTCAGAATTTTGCGTAACAGCGACCGACCATGTGCCGTATTTTTGCGGTGAACGACTAAACTACTGACGTTTCGCGAAGGAAAATGGCGCTGGTGCACTGCACGACAACCACCGAGGGTTCACTTCGAGTCAATTGCTCGCAAGATAACGGATGAATAATCACGATAATTAAAAGTTTTTTTTTTTGTTTTTGCTTGCTCCATAACTTGCCATTGCAGACACTCGGGTATACTTTGCAATTGCTCTTTCTTTTCTCCCCGGTTCCACGCATACATAGCTACACTAACTCTGTACTTATCGGTAATGAATTGTTATTAATGCCATTAATTAGTATTACTATTATTAGGCATTATCATGCACTTATGCATGGGATCGCTCACACCGCCAGAGCGGTATTCAGACGATCGATCGAGCGAAAGGGGGTCGTCTAGAAATGATGCCGGGTGGAAACTTCATGAAGCAATTCTTAATATGAGAAATAGATTTTGAAGACGTGATGTGTGGACGATCCCAAATTGTAATGACAGTCGGATATCTCGTGTGGATAAAAAAGAAAGTGGAATTTTAATCTTTAATCGGTCTATATTATAACTTTTAGGTCGCAAATTTCTACTGAAGTTGCGAGCATTTTTTATTACTCGACAGACATGCATAAGAGTTGAGTTTTTCTATTTTCACATGCAAGAAAATTAGCTGGAAACTGATAGTGTTGCAACGCTGTTCTATTTCAATATTTAATTCAAACAAAACTCATGGAGAAATTGGCAATCTAACGATAACGCTCGTGGCGAATAGGATAAATTGATAAAATGGTAGCATTTTAAAATTATTCTCCCATCCCGCGCCGTGCAAAATTATGAAACCATCATTATTTTTCTAGTTCTCCTATTTGCCACAAGTGTGCGCTTTATGGTATCGTTAGATCGCCAATTACGTTTTCTACGCGCGAAAAACTTTTCACATCACATCATAAAGCACCAATATACTATGCAATATACGTAATCCAGCTGATCATTGCACCACCATCCAGTCTGCATAAGTTCGGTTGATGGTTGTTTCCCCCCCCGGTCTAAGGTTAGTAAAATTTATCACCGCCTTAGTGGATAATCGAGATGGCATTCCCGACCCGAAAAAATGTAAACAAACAACAACCGAGCGCAGCGATTCTCGACGGTTGACGGTCCTGCCCTGCGAGGAAAATTTACGACCGATGAATCTCAAATCCTCTACGAAAATTTCATTTTAATGCGATGGCGGCAAATGTAACGTAAACAACCATACGACGAAAGCGAAGCCAAAGGTGCTCCGTTCCGTGTCCTATATAGCTATCTACGTTGAAGGATTTTACGAGCATCATTTTGCAACCACAACGAACGACGACGGTGATAGTGGTGGCCCCCAAAAAAAAAACTTTTATTGTTGATCCTTCTCCGCAATCCCACCACAATCATGCCGGTACTAATTTTACACTTTTTCTTCTCTTTTCCAGAGTGGACGCGGTCGTAAGTCGCTGAATCTTGGTGCCACACCGAAGAATCTGCCCCAGAACTCATCGGCGGCTAGTCCGGCCCCAGCATCGTTACCACACCCCTCGCCGAACACTACTACCGGTGCTACGACTGGGGCTCCCAATGTGGTCCAATCGAGCCAACAACTGGTGACCGTTTCCGGTGCCCAAACAGGTGTAAACGCTACGCTGCTTGCCAACAACAACAACAATTCCAGCCAGCAGCAGCAACAGCAACCGCTACAGCAGATTGCTCAACAAAGCGTACCCACTAACCAGCAGGGTTTGCAACAGCAGCAACAGCAACAGCAGCAGCAACAACAACAGCAAGTGCCAACCGTCGGTGTAATCAAAGCCGAAACAATGAAGGATCAGCCGCAACAGCCAATGGTAAGTAATGCAGCAGTTCCCAATCATGGCAGGGCTGAATCGATACCGGAGTGTGGGAAAACTTTTGCTCGGGGGAGTGTTGGAAAGTTTAGTTTGCTTCAACTCTGGAACGCGGAGATAAGCACATTTTTTCTGCCCACATTGCTACCTATAGCTAGTTGGAAGGGGGATCAAAATTGAAAGTTCTGAGCTATTGTGTACTTTCAATTAAAACTCGAAACGAATTCCTTGCTTCAATCAAGAAGACGGTGTGTCATCATGTACGGAAGAGATAGGCTGACAAAGCTAAGGAAGGAGATGCACAAATTCCGCTTCGGGTTTGAAATTTTCAGGCGCATCCGAAAATTTGATTGAATTTTTGTAAGTTTTACTACATTGCTACAAGTGGCGTCGCGTCCACATGTGCAACCTGTGCACGACACAGGTGTAAACAATTAAAAAAATGCGTTTACATTTTTATAGATTTTATGATCACATTATAGCTGTACTCCTTTACTCCAGACCACAAGTGACCATGAATACACTATTTTATAGTGCAGTTCAATTTAATCTTCGACCTTGGTTTGCTTCAAAAAGGGTCAAATTCTAATGGTCTGCCTAATCCCTAATGCATTGATTTCTAAGCATGTCGATATTACTACCATGACAAAACTCGTTAAATAGTGCACCTAAAAGCGAGCTCTTTTGGGTGGCGGGTGGCAAGTTTGTGAATGGCCAAACGCCTGATGAAAGCCAAGCAGACCTTCTATCACCTCTTGAAACATTAAATTTTCCACAATACACGGTGGTTTGCACCACTGGTTGTAATTGAAGCTTTCAGCAGTCACGCGTCAAACGGGAGCAACACGGAAACAGCAGTCTGATACCGAGATGGAAAACGACAGGTGGACAGGAACTCACTGTCTCCCAGTGTTGGTGAGTTCTTTGCCGTTAATGTTGACGAAAAGTTCACTATTTTGCCATACAGAAATTCAAAACAAAATTTTCTTGGGCGAATTTAGACGGTTTTTGACCTGTTTCATATGACCGGAAGGTGTACGCTGGTCACGAATGCCGTGCCAAACTGATTTCCTACGCAATTAATCAATCTTTGATGTGAATTTCGCTAATAAACACGAAGAGCATTTCTTTTAGCAAACTTGCCATAACAAAATGGGCATGGTTCATTTTAGTAAACAAACTAACACTTCTTCCGACTGTGTCACCTCTCTTACTCGCCTAGGTCTGATACGCTTTGGACGTCGTGTGTGAATGTGTGAGTTTACATTAGAAGAACATTTGTGATGTATGGGTGCCCAAAGTGTGCATTTCTCGCTGTGCACTTGGATATCTGATGTGGACCGTACACGATTGCTTTTATTGACAATAATCGTATTGACAATACATGCAATATTGACGTCAATACATCGGTATTGACAATATTTCTGTATTCACATCATCAATATTAATGTCAATAATTCCCCTTCGCGTCAATATATTGATACGTGTGGGGTTTGCTTGATTGCAGACAAAGAGAGTAATAGAGAAAGAGAGCGCAAAAGCCCGTTCTCACTCTCTTGTGAGTTGTTTGTGAATCTCTCAATTACCGATAGTTGCGCCGGCACCGAGACGGCTAATACATAGGTGTAACAGTCGGAAGAAGTGTTAGTTTGTTTACTTAAATGAACCATGCCCATTTTGTTATGGCATGTTTGCTATACGAAATGCGCCTCGTGTTTATTAGCGAATTTCACATCAAAGATTGATTAATTGAGTAGGAAATCAGTTTGGCACGGCATTTGTGACCAGCATACACCTTCCGGTAGTATGAAACAGGTCAAAAACTGTTCAAATCCGCAGATAAAATTTTTGTTTTGAATTTCTGTATAGCAAAATAGTGAACTTTTCGTGAACATTAACGGCAAAGAACTCACCAACACTGGGAGACTGTGAGTTCCTGCCCACCTGTTCATTTTCCATCGTGCGCCGGCACGCCTGTCAAAACTTATGAGCTTCCCCTGGTTCATTCTGATAGTGTTGTTCTGATGAATAAAGAGTTGATTAATTCTAGTTCGCTACCCAGGGGACTATGAATTTTCTCTAGATTTTGGCATTGTTTTGTATCAAAAAATGTTTTCGGAAGTGTTTGACGGATATTCTTTATTACACTTCAGTCGAAAGAGTTAGCCTTTTGATAAAAACGAAGAGAATCGATCAATATAACTTAGAACCTAATGCAATGTTCAGCTGGAATTAATAAGTTTTGCAATTCCTTCTACTTTGGTTAGCGCGAAAAGGGCCGTACAAGTTTTGTTAATACAAGATGATAGGTTCTTCAAATGTTACGTTAGTTAGTGATTAATATAGTGATGGAGAATATGTCCCTCGAATTCATGGAGCATTGAAAAATAAAACAAAAACTAACATGTGGTGGTAAACTATAACGAACAAAGCTTGGTGCACAGGTAAACAAATGAGGCACGCGACGCCTCTACATTTACAATTGATTTACCTAGCAGTTTCTGTTCAATTGAATTGATTCCTCGATTGTTATGATTGTTACTTAATATGTTTCATTTATTTATTTATTTCGTCAAGCAAAGTAGACTACATATTCCAGAATATGTCTTACGTATGTAATATATAATAATTTGATAGTGTATGGGTCTTGAAAATTATAGCTGAACCTCTTAATGAAGCCCAACATACTATTTGCTTTCGTTATGATTGTATTATAATGTTCTACAAAAGTGAGTTTGGAGTCTAGGATCACACCTAGGTCCCTTACAATTTTACATTTTCCTACTTTTTAGTTTCCTAAAAATATTTCAAAAAGAGGTGTTTCTATTTTTCTGCTAAATACAATTGCGTTGCATTTTTTTACATTGAGTTGGAGCAGACTTTTACTACACCAAGTGTTGAATAAGTTGATTTCATTCTGGAATTCTTCTGTGTCGCTAGAATTACTTATTTCCATGAAGAGCTTCATGTCGTCTGCATGTATAAGAACTTTTATTTTTTTAAGTATGTACGAAATGCCGTTTACGTACAAAATAAAAATAATTGGGCCTAAATGAGAACCCTGGGGCACCCCAGAGATGACCGAAATAGGTTCTGAAAGTTTATTCTGAAAACAAACTATTTGTTTGCGTTGCGTTAAGTATGATTGGAGCCAATTCAGAAGTCTAGATTCAATTCCTATTTTTTGCAATTTAAAGAGCAATAATGGTATGTCGATTCGGTCAAATGCTTTGCTGAAGTCAGTATAAAGAGCTTCCACGTGCTTTACATTGCCCATTGCGTTAAGAATGAAGGTTACAAATTCAAGAAGATTAGAGGTAGCTGAACAACCTTTAAAAAAGCCGTGCTGTTTGTTTGTAATTTGATTTTTTACTTGCTGAAATTTTTTGTCGTTTACGATTGATTCAAAACGTTTTGGGATGCAAGAGATAATGGCAATTCCACGATAATAAGGGATGTAATATTTCTTGCCTGATTTGAAAATAGGCACCAAATGAGACGATTTCCAAATTTCAGCGAATTTCCCATTTTCAGAGACATATTGAAAAGGCGTTCTAAAGAAAGGGTGAGTTGTTCTGAAAGATTCTTCAAGAATACAGGTGCAATTCCGTCAGGTCCTGGTCCTTTAGATGCGTCCAAATTGTTTAGTGCATTGAGGACTTCATGTTGACATATTTGATTGACAGATATGTTGTTAGAGACTTTGGGAATGAATGCAAAGAAGTCGCGGTCGCGGTCTTTTTCAGGAAATGTGGTGTATACTTCTTGAAAGAGATTTGCAAAGAGATTGCAGATTTCAGAAGGATTTTCACCTACACACCAAAAAATTATGAATTTTAATGGTGATGTAAATATCCATGCATGCTAAAATTGAAGCATGTAAACTTCCTTTTAACGTAAACTAGCAACTTGCAAGAAATATTGAGCTTGAGCTTGAGCTTGAGCTTGAGCTTGAGCTTGAGCTTGCTTGAGCTTGATTGACCACCCACGGTTGCTACTCTGTTACTGCCAGATCAGCTGTTATTACACAGAGAACCAATAGACGATGCTTGGGACTAGCAATCATCCTCAATGTGTAAAAACTGGTGATCTTAAATTAGGCAATACGGCCGAACCTTAACACAGGTCAAGAAAGGAATGGGAAGGATTGTGTTGACATGACACTCGCTTTGATGGAAGCCGAGAACACCTCTGCACTTCCACGAGGAATCACTGGGATGTTGGATAAGAGGGTTGGGTTTGCAGCAGGGTTCGTTTTGGTAAACGATAAGCTGAATTGATGTCCTAACGATCATATAACGCGAAGGAGCTTGGGACTAAACCCACGGTCTTCTGCTCAGTAAGCAAAAACGTTTGCCACTAGACAGACGAGAACCTTTTTAATCACCGAGTTGCTGTTATTACCATGTAGTCATATTAACAAATAAAACGATTGACGAATCTTGAATGTGGATGGGCCTGAGATTAGACTCATGATGTTCTGCTCAGTAAGCAAAAACGGTTGCTCTAAGGCCACCCAGCCCCTCATATCACATAATACCGTTGCTCAAATTTGTGTATCCATTCAAACCCGGAACCAACGACAACAACGAGTTTCGCAAAATACACGATATACAAGCGATTTTACCATAAATCTCTTTGATATGTAAGTACCTGGGACCGCGTTTTTCTGCTCAGTAAGCAGGCCACTGTAACCGACGATCTTTCAAATCCGAAAACTAAAAACTACGAAAAAGTACTTAGGCCTTCATTAAGTTCCACTTTCACGCGACGTTCATAGACAGGGTCCTATCCAGGATTACATCTGAAAAATCCAAATCTGGCCAACGCCCACCTAAACCTGTTCTAATCCACCTGAAATGACTAACGAATGGAAGACTTTGACTACTCAGCCATGCAATAGTCTCATTCCGTGCCTTATGGCAACTTGATGATTCTATTGCGCTCATCTTTTGGCACCACCCAGAGGAGACTTGGTCCTGTATCCAATGCTTAACTTA